GCTTGTGAGTTGTTTTAAATATTTAGGGCTGCCAGTATATCTGGGCATGTGTATTAAAAATATCAGGATGCTTGGCTAAGACTGTTTTGTGCTCTGTAAAATACACACATCACCTGAAACAAAGTTCCAGAAGCAGAAGTGTTCTTTTCTGTAAAAAAAAAATATACAAAAAGCCAAGTTTTTAAAAACTTTCCATAAAAGGATTTAAAACTAATTTACCCAATGGCATGCAATGTATTTGTGAACATGAAACAGACCTTGGGGAAAAAAACCCTGCATATTTGCTCATTGCAGGCTTTTAAAAAAAATTGTATTTATTTTAGTAATTTATGGCCCATCTTTGCTGAGCTGTCATGGGGGGAGGTTGTTTCTGTTTCCTTGGAAGCCCCTGTGATCCCTTATCAAGGTTTTTGTGCTGTTGTACTTTAGTGCTTTGCTTAATAATTCTGAGGGAATTCTTTAGGAGGGAGAAAAGATCTTAGCCATTGGGAAAGTTCCTCTGGTGGTTCACACCTTGTTTTTTCACTCATCTGACTGTTTATTTTAAGAAGCTTCATAATTTGCAAATCTGTTAAAATGTTCCTGCATTTCTTCCCTGATCTGTTCAATATGTGCTGTTTTGTGTTTGGCTTTCACATTTCCTGACCATGTTTTGGTATCAACTTACAAGAGATAAGAATTTTGTATTTTTCCCTTTTAACCTTGATCCCAGTTTAAGAACTGATGGTGAAACTCAGGCTCAGTTCTGTGTGAGATGCAACAGGAGTCAGTAAATGTTGCAAATCCAAATACTAATATTTTTTTTTGTAATGGCAAAATGCTTGCTCAGTAAAGCATTGATATTTTTGTGTGCTCTGAACTGTTTTGATATTTTTGATAAGATGTGGAGTAGCCCTGCCTGAACTCATCCAAGAGCTTTAGGTAAACTCAGAGCTTTGGGGGTGCCCTTTGCTCACTCACTGCAGCTGAGCTCACTGTCTCTGCCTCCCAAATCCTTTCTCTCCTCCTGTGCTGCTGTTGTTCATGGTTTGTTGCCCTGGCAGGCCCCCGAGGTGATCCGCATGCAGGACAGCAACCCCTTCAGCTTCCAGTCAGATGTCTACTCCTATGGAATAGTGCTCTATGAGCTGATGACAGGGGAGCTGCCCTACTCCCACATCAACAACAGAGATCAGGTGAGGCACCCTCTGGGAGCACTCCAGCTGATTCCTGCCCCTGGCACATCCCCTTGGCCTCCAGAAGTGCAGGGTAAACACAGATGCAAACCAGCTGCAGTGGTGTTGACAACCTGCTTGGTTTCAGCAGTAAATGTGTAACTGAGTGTTCACCTCAGTATTGACAGTCCAGCTACTCAAAGGAAAAAAAACAACTTTGTTCATAAACATTTGAAGTGCCCTGTTAATTTTTTCCCAGGTTACAGCTTTTGCTGCACAGTAAAATACTGGTTTTTACATTTGCAGTTATAGGAAAGTCACATTTTGGTGTTAAATATCCTGCTGCTACATCAGGAAGATGGGATTTGGTGCTTTTTACTAAGGGAAAACCCCCAGTAACTATTGTGCAACCTTGGAATATTGAATCTTTGTGTTTGGTCTTTCCTGAGCTGTGCTGTTAGGCAGAGCTGCAGGGCTGTGCTGGTGCCCTGTGGGTTTCCTCACCGGGGGGCACTGCAGCTGCCCAGCAGTGAGGCCCCTGTGTAACCTGCTTTTTGTGCTCTGCGTGGTTGCTTTGCAGATCATTTTCATGGTTGGCAGGGGCTATGCTTCCCCAGACCTCAGCAAGCTGTACAAGAACTGCCCCAAGGCCATGAAGAGGCTGGTAGCAGATTGTTTGAAGAAAGTGCGGGAAGAGCGACCTCTGTTCCCACAGGTGAGCCCTGACAGGCCCTGGGGCTTTATGAGGAGCCATTAGCACACACTGGTCTGCTCAGATGGAAATTCTGGTTAAGGGAGGTGCAGCCTGTGCCCGGTTTCTGTCTTTACTGATAACGCAGTTTGTGTTTTGGTTGGACTGGCACTTTCTGAGTCCATGGAACACAACCTGCAGTTGTGAGGGCTGAGGCTGTGCTGGGCTGGCTTTCAACACCTGATCTGCCCAGAGACAAACCAAACCCCCCTCACTCCATAAAAGTGAAATCTATCTCTGATATCCATTTTATTTTAGAGTAGGCTTGAGGGAAATGAGAGGCCACTTGCTCCTTTCCTTCCCCACAACTCTGAACAAGGAAACAAAATCCACTGGGGGATGTAAATTCATGGAGCATTTTTTGGTATTTCTGCAAGGGATGCTTTATCTTTTCCTGTCACTATGGGGATGGGGAGGGTACTTTCTTAAACTCATTGATTATAATTAATTAATTAAACATCAGCAATTTTGGAAAAAATAATTTCTTGCTGTTGCAGTCAAGCATTGTTTAGAAAGTTGTTTCTAAATGTCTGGCAGACGATGCAGTTCCTTCCCTGTTACTCTGCTGGGGGGTGGTTCAGAGGCTCATTAATTGCTCCCAATGTCTGTGCACTGATGAAAAGCACCCTCAAGCCTCTGGAGCCCCTGAGGCCTCACAGCACTGACAGTGTGGGCACAGCTGGGTTCCTCCAGCTGTTTTCAGTGCCCCACGGAGCATTAATGCAAAACCTGAACTGGATCAGAATTGAGTGAGTGAGTGAATGAACGAGTTAATGGCTGAATGACGGCTGAAATGGGAGCAGAGGGCGCTGCAGGCCCCACAAGCCTCTGAGAGCTGCTCTTTCCCCCAGATCCTGTCGTCCATCGAGCTGCTGCAGCACTCTCTGCCCAAAATCAACCGCAGCGCCTCGGAGCCGTCCCTGCACCGCGCCGCCCACACCGAGGACATCAACTCGTGCACGCTGACCTCCACCAGGCTGCCCGTGTTCTGAGCTGCTCCTGCCCTGCTCCTGGCTGGAGCAGCAGCACAACTCCAGCTGTGCCTCCAGCCTCGGTGTCCGGGCTCCTCCAGCAGGAGCCTCCGCGTCCCACCCTCCGAAGAAGCTGCTACGGATTTGTGCAGTTCTCAGCCTGCAGGGACACAGCTCCTCATTGCCTTTGCTACCATCTCTTGTTCTGGGAGAGGTAACAGACTACAAATCAAGAGATCTATTACTATTTTTTTAATAGATGCACTTGAGCCTTATTTTCCCCTTCCCAGAAGCGATGGCTGTTTCCTTGGCAGTGGCTCTGGCTGGGTGTGCTCTGTGCTCAGTGAGGGGGCTCTGAGGACAGGTGATGTTCTGGTGCTCTGACTGCCCCATGCCAAGTGTCACCTCACCCTGGGGAGTTGTGCCTGGAGTGGGAAGAGGAAATAACTCTGGAAATCAGCTCCTGCCTAAGAGCTTCACCAAGCCAATGAAATAAGTTCAAATGCTAATCCAACACAAAATAGTTTTGCAATAGTTTTGCACATAGAAGAAAAACTCTTGCAAAAGGATGGAATCTGTTATGAATTGTCCTGCTCAGAGAAGGAGGTGAGCCAGTCCTGTTCTGGTGATCTTGAGAAGCCTCCCAGCTGCCTTTGGTACTATGGACCTGCTGCTGCAGCCCAGGCAGGGGTGAGGAGTGCTGGGCTGGGCTGGCAGAGGCTGAGGATGTTCCCACCTCCTGCAGAGGCTGCATCCCAGCACAAGCTGTCGTCCAAGAGATGCACTAGCAAGAGGAAACTGAGCATATACAGTTTTTCTTGTTGATTTGGGTTTTAATTTTGTTTTTATTGCTCCTGAGAAAATGCATTTATTGTAAGCCAAGGTTCCTCTGATTATCTTATTTTAATAAAATAAATTAAATTTTAGGTTTAAGATTCAACGTAGTCATTTTAATGTAGTTATCCACAGTTCCAAGTGGGACATCTGCATTTGGAAAACTCAAGAAATGACATTCTGAATAGTTTTTAAAAAGGAACTGATAAATAATAGCAGTGCAAGTAAAAACACACTTGATAAAACAACCTCTACGTTTCCAGTCACGTGACAAGACAGTTTTTGTACTGTAGTGATCTTTGAGCAGCAGCTGCTTTGGACACCCCCTGATGTGCTCTCAGGCTCTTGCCCTGCACCACTTGGGCTCAATTTTCTCTTGTTTACTGAGGTGCAAGTGAAGTTTTTGTGTTGGCTGAACTCCATGGGGGACAGGAATAGGTGGATGGATCTAAAAATGGATTTTTTCAAATAGCAGTTGGTAAATGTGGTTATTAGGGCACAAATGGAAGGCCAGGTTGGGATTTTGCCTTTCTGTGGGTGCAGAGGGTCCTGGGGTCAGGGCTGGCTGTGCCTCTGGCACCTCCACCCCAAAGCTGCTGGGCACAGCTGCTGCCTTGGCTGGGGACTGGGACAGTCCCTGTGTCCAGCTCTCCCTGGAATGCCCAAACAGCCACTGCAGCAGCAAAACCCACAGAGCCCCTGTGAAAGGGAGGAGAGCCAGACCAGAAATCAGCTCCAGTTTGTCCTCAGAACATTCTGTGACAGGACAAGGGCAGAAGGTGAATCCCTGGGTGGTAACTGAGAGTGCCTGGGAGCTTTGCTTCCTCAGCAGTCAGTGGAGACTTGAGGTGTCCATACAGTCCTGCATGGTTTTTAACAATATTGTTGGTATTTGACTGCAACTCTCTATAAACATTATTTATCTCTAATTGTCACTTCATTATAAAAAGCTTAAAACATGGAAGAAAAAAAACCCAGAAGAGCTAAGTTGCTTTTACTTTAACTCTGATTTCTCAAAAGAAACCATTAACCTGTGATTTTTAAACCAGATCATGTGTCTCTTGGAAAAAAAATGAAGTATTTTTGAGAAGTAGGTTTATTTTAACCAGCACCTGATGTCCAGTTAAATGAAAGGTGCTGAGTGAAGAACTTAGAAACTCAGACATTTTAAGTACCTGGCAGCTTTGAAAAACAAGTTATCTTTTTAATTTCAGACCAACCCTCATGGCTTCTTGGGGCAAAGTAAATCAGGAATGTCCTGTTTAGGGTAGAGAACATCCTCTCCATTGATTTTTTTTTTTTTTTTTTTTTTAGTGTATTCCTGACAATATTTCTTTCTGGGAAAAAAAAATTATGTGTGGGAGCAGATGGAAATGAGCTTTAGTGGGAGGGTGAGGGCTGGGAAATGTTCTGGGGTAGAAAGGGTGCTTGGGCGTCCCTGACACATTCATCTACCTTGGTGTGTGACATCCCTCTCAGGGGTAATTTACCTTCTGCTTTGTAATTAGTGCTGACCAATTGCACTGGTTGGACTTCTGCCCTTTGCTGGGCCAGTTTTACCAGGAAACTGGGAATGATGTGCCTGCAGCCAGTGCCAAGGCCAGGCCTGGCTGTGCAGGGAGCACTGCTAGAAATGAACTGCAGGGGAAATGATGGGAAAGTTCAATTTCCAGTGAGAACAGAGGGCAGGAGCTGCTGACCCAGGAATGCCAAGAGCAGCTCAGGGGATAATCCTGGAGCCAGCTGAGCTGTTGGAATGCCAGGTTCAGGCTCCTGCTGTCAGCAGCCAGGGCTGGCCCTGTGTGCCCAGCTGGCACAGCCTCCTGCCCAGCTCTCCCTGAACACATTTTGCTGCACAGTTTCCCACCCTGGTGGATCAAAGCTGTGACCATCACTGATCCACAGGTGCTGATTACAAACCTTTCTGCTCTTGGCCTTTGTTTCTTAACACATTTTTAAGTATTATTTTTTATGCTTTTATATTGCTACAGATAATAACCAAACCAGTTACACACCTGACTTCCATTGCAACCAAACTGTTCTAAAATAAACCCCACATCTCCATTTGTATTTACAAACACTGCTCAGTGCTTTACAAGGAGCTGGGTCAGTGACAGCTCCTGTCCATGCTGTTGGTAACTCAGCAGCCACTGCAGTGCACACTGAAGTCTTGGTTTAAATTCCAAGTGAAAACAGTTGACTTGGCAGAATTAACTTCTGGTTCCAGATTTCACAACCCAACTGCCTTTGCCACACGAACAGAAATCACATTTTGAACAAAGCCCGAATTCAGTAACAATTCAGAGCTGTGCATGAATCCCTCAGCCCTCCTGGGGCACAGGGCAATGGAGGCTGAGCTGCTGCAGGGCCTGGGCAGGCCTGGCCAGGGTCTGGGAGAGCTCCCATTGTGCTGAGCTCCCAAGTTCAGGAATGAGTGCAGCTGCATGTGCTGTCCAGCAGGAGCCTCTGCTGCCTCTGAGCACTGGAGTTAGGGTGAAACTGGGCTGGGAGCTCCACTGGCAGCACCTGGGGAGCCAGGCCTGCCCAGAGAACCCAGCAAGCTTGCTCTGAACTCAGCTACGAGCTGAGGTACAATGTACCAGCTCCTTTTTAAGGAGAAAACCCTACACTGATCATTATTCCCAGTGGGTTTTGTAGTAATACATTTAGCTGACTTAGTGGAGAAAAATACCCAAAAGTACCCAAACTCTAATTAGCAACAGTTTTTACCAGCTTAAGCTTTCACTGGACCTGTATTTACACTACCACTCAGCTCACAAGACAGCAAATGTTAGGCCAGAGAGGGAGAAAACCCTCCTGGGATTAAGGGATTTTTTTCCATGCAGCCAATTTTTTTTTTTCTTTTAAATATATTTGAGTCTTCTTTTGTTGCTGCCATATAAAAACTATCTGAAAACTTTACCAGGACTGCACAAGCAACCACCGGGGCACATTTTGTTCTACCTGTGCTGCAGAGATAAAAGCATGGCTGAAGCCAGCTGCCCTGGGGGCTCAGAGGGGCTGGCTGTGCTCCCTGGCAGCAGCGGGCTCCTCCTCAGCCCCCGAGAGGTGCATGAAGAGCTCCCCCAGCTCCGTCACCTCGGCGTCGGCGCCGGGCGCGCTCCTGCTCTCCCTGTCCTCGATGAAGTCCCACAGGCGCACGGAGTTGAAGAACTGCAACAGAGAGAGAGCAGCCTGAGCCCCCCAGGCAGCACCCTGCCCTGGGCAGGCAGCTCCCCTTCAAACCAGCCCCAAAGCTGCTCTGAGCTCTGGTACAGCCAGGCTCTCGTGTCCCGGATCAGGCACTGAGGGGACACAGCTGCGGCACAGCCAGCACCGCTTGCTGAGCTTTCACCCTTTTCAGCTGCCCTTATGCCAGCACAGGAGAGGAGCTGTGAGCACTGTGGGTGAAAGCTTTAAGGGCAGAATTCCCCTGAGGAAAGGTCTGGACTGGTGGAAAAAGCAGAATTCCCCTGAGGAAAGGTTTGGACTGGTGGAAAAAACAAAGCAATGCTATTTTGTAGTTGAAGGTGTAGACACTTTCTGTCTCCAAGAACAACCCCTTGCCCAAGGAACAGTGGGAGCGGCTTTTCCCACTGGTCCTGCGTGGCAGGAAGGGCTGGCAGCACACGGTGGGCCTGCAGGGAGGGGGCAGCAGGGCAGCAGGGCTCTCCTTACCCGCACGGTGCCCTCGGAGCTGAGCTGCTTCCGCGGCTTCTCGGGCTCCGCTCGCGTCCCGTCGGGGTAGGCGTGGAGGTACAGACACTTCCCTCCAAAGGGACACGTTCCTTTGCCTTGCTCAAAGTACTTGCAGGGCTTTTTCCTGAGTTATTACAAGAGAGGGGGTTACTGCCTTCAGCTGGAAGGGAAGGAGGTGCACTTCAGTCCCCACAGCACAGCCAGAGCTTGGGCCTCATTCCTGAGCTGAGGGCAGTGACACTCTTCCATTTTCCTTCCCTGCTTGCTCTCCTCAGCCACCAACAACCTTCCAGGCAGATATGGCCGAGGGATCCACACAAAGCCAGTTCTGGCAAGGGAGCTGAAACAGCTCCAACATTTCTGAGTACAGAAATGTTGGAGCTGAGGGGCTGAACTACAACTACACAGCCACAGAGTGAAGCAGAAGTGTGAGCAGAGGTGAGGAGCTCTCTGCAGGGGTCTGTAATTACATTAAGTTTAAAAATAAAGGCTCAGCAATTGACTCTTGGAGCAGCTGAAGAACAACGTGAGGAGTGTGGGTGGCTGCTGAACTTACCCCACTCCCTGCTTAAATGCTTCAATCAGCTCATTTTTCTTCTCCTGCTCTTCCACCCAGTACACGCTGGGGATGACAAACTCGGAGATCACGCGGCACTCGGGGCAGGACCTGGAGGAAAACACAGACAGAGATGCTCTGGAACCTCCCCACACTGAAACCCTCCAGAGCTGCCACAGCAGTGAGCATCCTCCCCAGAGAAAGGGGATCTCTGCCACCTCAGGCAGCAGCCACCTCCTCCCACGCCAGCACAGCACTTTGTGTGCATTTGCTGGCAGTTCCAGTTGGAATAACCAGTTCAGGGCACCCAGGGCTTGTGTTTGTTTCTGGACTTGAGCAAAAGTCTGCACATTCCTCCCACATGCACAAACAAACTGTGTTCTGGGAGTGCTGCAGGAAGCCAAAAACACAGATTAAGATGGCTCAGCCTTTTGAAATGCAAGGAGCTGATGGTCACTTCAATGACATGTGGAATAAAAGTTGTGCAGAAAAGTCTGTTTTGGTAGAAGACTGAAAATATTTCCCACCTTTTCTTCAGCATGTTTGTAACTTGAGAGATGCTCAAAGAAGGAAACTTCCCTAATTGGATGTTTTAAATTCTCTCTGGGGGGGAACAGGTTTGGAACACATTTTTTTGTGGAGCTAGAAGATAAAGGCATTTACTGAGACAGATAAAAGTGTGGTTAGTGGGACAAAGACCTGGAGTGAACTATAATTTAGGAAGAAATTCCATAACTAAGCACATACACAGGAAAAAGTGGGAGTTCTTACTGAAGCCCCCTCACTGGAGTGGGCACTGCAGTGCTAACAGCTGCTCCATCAGCCCATGCCACAGGTAGATGGTAATCCTAAGGGTTCTGTGCCTGCTGGTCAGCACTGGGAACACCAGGACACTGCCACATGAGAGCACTTCAATCTCAGTTCTGAGAGCCCAGGAAATGATGCATTTCCACAAGGGACAGAGCTCTGCCAGCTCCCAGCTGCTCCAGAGTCCACTGTGCCCACTGCCCACGCAACCAGAGAGGGCTGAGTGGCCAGAATTCCTATACAGGTGGCCAGAGTTCCTGTGCAGGGCTGTGGGATTGAGGGAACTGCACCAAAGGACCCCCAGTGCACCGTGCTGTGCTGAGCCCTGCTGCCAGCTGCAGCCCCCCCGGGCAGGGGCAGCACTCACTTGATGATGGGGTTCTCAAACTGCTTGGCACACCTCCACTGGCGGATGCAGGACAGGCAGTAGGTGTGGGTGCAGTTGGACAGGATCCCAAACCTCCTCTCCGAGGCCGAGGGCTTCTCATACACCACCTCCATGCAGATGCTGCACACCTTGTCCTGGCTGGCCTGGATGGCAAAGGCCCTCTCCATGTCGTGCTCGAAGGTCGCCATGCACATCTGCCAGGGGAGGGGGCACTGAGGGTGCCAGCCTGGCACACCCCGTGCCCCCGGGTGGAGCTACTGCAGGGAAACCTGGAGCACCCACTGGGGCACCGCTTAAAGAACATTACATTCACTCATGGATTTCAGCCTTCAGTGCTCTCCCAGCTGTCAGACAGAAAGATGCCAGGGTGCTCCTTTCAGCCCTTTCTGCATCTCTGTCACAGAACAGGTATTGAATTGTTTGGTGCTTCACACACCCCCAAAACCACCTCACTGAATAGGTGCCACACTCAAGGTGTTCCTCTGATTACAATTAAGGCCACATTCATTGACCAGATGCTAACTTTTACCCAGGTAAGGAATTAGTCTCTTACTCCAGGCTTTCCTCCAGCACCTCTCACTGGAGCAGTGACAATCCACAGCCCATTCCCACTGCCACAGCACTGCAGGGCGAGCTGGTGCCTCAGACAGAGACCTCCCAAAGGCATTGTCCTGGCAGACCCTCAGGGTGCTGTGGGAGAAGGCTGCAGGCCAGTGAATGAGGATGAAATGGCACAAACCATTTCAAACCACGAGCTGCAGCCAGTTCAGCTCTGCCCTAGCACGGCTCTCCAGACCAGCAGCACAAGAGGAGCTCTGTGGCAGAAGCTCCAGAGCAGACAGCCCCAGCCTGGCCCCCAGGTGCCCTTTACCATCTCGTGGGCCTTCCTCTGCTCCGGGTCGAAGGGGTGCAGCACCTGGAGGCCGCAGATCTCGCAGAGCTGCCCGTGCAGGTAGAGGCAGCGCTCCCCGAAGTGGCAGGCGCCGGCGGCGGCGTAGGGACAGAGCTGCGGCGCGGCGGGACAGCCCGCGGGCCCCGCCTCCTCCAGCCCGCTGCAGATGGCCTCCAGGTACGAGAGCGGCTTGGCCTCCTCGCTGTCCCCGGGCTCGCCGCAGCACGGCACGGCCCCGGCGCCGGGCCGCGCCTGCTCCTCGCTGGAGCCGCACAGGTCTGCGGGGACAGCGCGGGCACTGCGCTCAGCCTCCGGCCGCCCAGGCCTGCGGCTCCTTGCCCGCGGTCTCCGCTCTAAGCCCCTCCTGCTGTGAACCGCAGGGATTTCCCCAGGCTGCTACTGCGGAGCTCAGTGGCAGCGTCTGTCCAGGTGCTCCGGGCTCACAAACAGACGGACCTTAGAGTCCACCCAGTGCCACCCCTGCCATGGACAAGGACACCTCCCACTGCCTCAGGGGGCTCCAACCTGGCTTGGAACTGGTCAGTGGACAGGAAAACCTGGGACACGTTGGAACTTCCACTAAGAGCTCCGGGACCAGCAGGTCTGACCCAGCCCAGGGCCCCGAGTGCCACTTCCAGCTGTCCTGGACACCTCCAGGGATCCGGGCTGCCTTCCAACGCCTGACCACCCCCCCCATGAAAACATTCTTCCCGATGTCCAGCCCCAACCTCCCCCGGCTTGAGGGACCACACAGTTCCCTCTGTCCTGCTGTCTGTCTGGGAACAGAGCACTCCCACCCCCAGGGAGCAGCCGCTGCTCGGGACAGCAGGGAGATTCTGCAGGAAGGAGGCTCCGGGAGAGCTCAGGCTGGCCTTGAAACCCCGATATCACAGGGACAGCACCTCCCTCCCTCCCTCCCTGCCCGCCCGGCCGAGCACAGCAGCCCCCCACTCACTCCTGTCACGCAGCACCAGCGTCCTCTTCTCCCTCCTGCTGCGCGGGGCGGCGGGGCCGGGCTCGGGCGGCGCCCGGGGGCTGCTCCGGGCCGGCGGGGGGCGGCGGGGCCGCGGCTGCGCCCGCCGGAGGCAGCCGCACGTGGTCGTACCTGCGGCGGGGACGGCGGCGTCACGGCCCGGCACCGGCACGGAACACACCGCGGGAAAGGGGGACACTGCTGGGAAACCGGGGGGGACACCGTGCCCAGCAGAGCAGGGCAGGCCGGGCAGGGCAGGGGCTGCTCCATGGGCACACAGCATTCCCAGGGGAACACTCCCACCCGTGCCTGGGCTGGCCTGTGCCCGGGTGCCCGCTGAGGCAGGAGCAGCACACCCACGCCCAGCAGCAGCTGATGCCCAGGGCTGAGCCAGCCTGGCACAGGGGTCAGGCCCGGAGCTGCCAGGGCGGCCGGCACTCCACGGACCATTTCCTTGCCCCGGGCCGCGCTCACCTGCAGCGGGAGCCGTAGGCACACTGCCCCTTCTGGTAGTACTTGCAGATGGTGGAGGACTTGCTGGTGGCCAGGTCATGGGAGAACAGGCACTTGCTGCCCTCCCGGCACACGCCCTGCAAGAAGTACCTGCGGAGAGACGCGGCCCCGGCGGGCTCGGCTCTGCTCGTCCGCACGGCCCCGAGGGGGCCGAGCCGAGCCCGCTGCGTGCCGGGCAGCCCGGGGAGCAGCCAGGGCTGGGGACACCAGGGGACAAGGGGGCACGCACGGCCTGCAGCTCGGCACGGGGGGGGCGGGAAGGGCTGAGGGCTGCGAGGGCTCCGGGCCCGGCCGCGCGAGAGCGGAACGAGGCGCTGCGAGGGCGCGGGCCGGGCCGGGGGCGCTGGGGCCGGGCTGAGGGCACTGAGGGAGCCGAGCCGAGCCGAGCCGAGCCGGGCCGAGCCGAGCCGGGCCGCGCTCACCTGCACGTCACCTGCTTGGTGCTCATGGTGCCGCCGCGCTGCCGCGCCCGCCCTGCTCCTCACGCCGCGCACGGAGGTTCGCCGGCGCGTGCCGCCGCGCTGCCCCGCGTGCGGCGGGGACCTGCGCGCCGCCGGGCTGGCCGCCGCGCCCGTCCGCCTGCACTGCCCCTTCCGGCACGGCCACGGGCAGCCCCGCGCCTTCCTCATCAGGCCCACGCGCGGCACCTTCCTGGAGTAACCGCCAGGGGGCGCTGCGGGAGCGGGGCGGGCGTGAGGGGAAAGGGAACGGGAATGGGAACGGAATGGAATGGGAATGGGAACGGAATGGGAACGGGGAAAGGACAGGGGGATGGAACGGGAACGGGGCGGGAACGGGAATTGGGCGGGCACTGAGAGGGAGATGGGAAGGGAAAGGGGCGGGCACTGAGGGAACGGGGAATCAATAGGAGGGGAATGGGAGGGAATAGGGATGGGAAAGGGGCGGGCACTGCGAGGGAATGGGGAGGGAAAAGGGCAGGACAATGGGGAATGGGAGGGAAAAGGGCAGGAGAGTGGGGAATGGGAGGGAAAAGGAGGGAAATGGGGGCGGGAAAGGCGCCGGCACTGGGAGGGAATGGGTGGGGAAAGGGGAAGGGAGTGGGCAGGTAAAGGGAAAAGGGGAAAAAGGGGGAAGGAAAGGGGAAGGAAATGAAATGGGAATGCAAAGAGGGAAGGACGGGGGAAGGGAAAGGAGAAGGAAATGAAATGAATTGGGAAGACCAGGGCAGGGCAGGGCAGGGCAGGGCAGGGCAGGGAAGGGCAGGGCAGGGCAGGGAAGGGGCTCACAGCTGCCCATGCCGCCAAGGGAAGGGAAGGGAAGGGAAGGGGCTCACAGCTGCCCATCCCGCCGGGCTGTCCCGGTCATTCCCGTGCTCCTCCCGCAGCGGCTATGACGGGCACTCTGACCTGCACGTGGGCATCACGGATTCCCGGGGTAGGAGCACCCGCGGGCCCTGCCCTCTCCCGCTGCCCCGGGCATTCCAGCTCGGAACATCCCGAACTGGGGTCACCGGGCATGATCCCAGCTTGCGGCAGGGCTCCAGAGCACATCCATTCCCTGAATGCATTGAACAGGCATTGAATGGAATCAACAGGTGCCTTCCACCCCTGGAGTGAAAGGCTAGCTTGCTTTACAGGAATTACAGTTTGAGTTTAACACAGTTTTGGCTAATTTTAGAAACACCCCCAATTAAAAAAAAATTTAAAAGGCACATGAAAAATCCTATCGGGCTCTACCTAGATTGGCCCACCCTGCGAAACATCATTTCAGATGTGTATTTCATACAAAGCCAGTCTCCTCTGGGGGTTACAAATGAAGCCTGATTGTCCTGCAGTTGCTCTGATTACTAAAGGAGCCAAACCCTTTTTGAATGGACACTGTGAGAAGGAGACCAGGTTTTGCTGGGAGCCAGGCCTGCATTTCCTACCCAGCTGGTGGGATTTGGGTCAAGGGCCCCAGAGGGCTGTGTGTGTGTGTGTGTGTGCCTGCAGGTGTGGTGTACAGCTACGACCAGGAGGGCGTGCACAGGGACGGCAGCGGCTGGCAGCAGTGCATCTGTGTCCCCCTGCTGCAGCCAGACATGTGGGAGCTCCTGCAGCAGTGGGACACGCTCCTGGAGGAGTTCTCCCGGGAGGAGGCCTGGCTCCCTCACAGGTGTGTGCGTGTGCTTGGGATGGGGTTTGGGCTCCTTCAGAGCCCGTTGTCCTTCGGGACGCCATTCCTTCCCTCACAGGTGTGTGCGTGTGCTTGGGATGGGGTTTGGGCTCCTCAGAGCCCGCTGTCCTTCAGGACGCCATTCCCGGATCACCCTCAGCCTGGCCTGGCTGCACAGAGTGCTCTGAACTTGAAGTAAAACTCAGCTGCTGGAATAGAAAAGCTCTAAAGCAAGAGGTGGCTTTAGGGAGTTTTGCATTGAAGCCCCAGTTCAGTGAAACTGCGTGCTGAATATCAAAGTCCAGGCACAATCCCATAGTTATTTTTTTAGTATTAGTGTTATTTAGTTATTTAGTTTTAGGTGTGTTTGCATTTAAAGGCTGAGCACAGCAATGGGATTCTTCTCCCAATTGTTGTTTTTGATGTAAGTGGTGAGAAATGGAAAGCCCCACTGCTGGGACTGTCCCTCAGGGAGAGCAGCTGTAACACACAGCCTGCCTGGCTGCCACTGGGTGAATGCAGCCATGAAAGAAAAAATCAAAAAGCATTTCTCAGCAATTCTCTATGTGCTGACTATAAAATTTCAGGGATCAAACATTACCCCCTAAAAAAAGGAGATGGAAAATTTGATTTAGAGCAGAATTTTTATATGTTTATGGAGCTGGCAAAACCAACAGAACTTGTGTCACTTTTACAGTTCCCAGCAACATTAAAAGTGCCTTGACATCAAACAGTCAGTGGCAGAAAGTCAGAGATGTGTGCAGCCCTTCTCCTGGCCTTCCCTGGTTTCCATCTGCCACCTCCTGACACAGTGACCTTTTTCACAGCCACACCAGTGGCCACTGAACTGAAAACAACTTCAGTTAAAATCCCCTGCTTATTTTTCAGTGGGCAGGAACTGCACTGAACTAATCCTGTAACTCCTTTGGGTTCAGGCCAAGCCTGATCAGTTTTTCTTGAGAGCTTTTCACTTGCTGAAGGGTGGTAGAGAAATCACTGCTAGGGTTTGAAATGAGCTCCCACTCACCCCTGGTGGCACACAATTAACTCTGGGGCTGCAGGAAAGAGCTGCTGACAATAGCTGGAAGAGCAAAGGTTAACAAGGTAAAAGCCAAAGGAGTACAGAAAATAAGAACTCATTTTTGTCAGACCTTGCAGCGCTCTCATTTATACACTCAGAGCTCAGGCTGGCAGGGAGCACGTGTGAGGAATATATGGAACCACTGGGAGGGAGGGGGAGTAACTGGAGAGCATTCCTGGAGTGAACACTCCCCAGGAGTGGGGTGATGGCAGTGCCCTGCTCAGGGGGGTTTGCTGATGGCAGTGCCCGGGCTGGCTGAGGGGCTGTGGTGCTGGCAGTGCCCGGGCTGGCTGAGGGGCTGTGGTGCTGGCAGTGCCTGGCCTGGCTGAGGGGCTGTGGTGCTGGCAGTGCCCAGGCTGGCTGAGGGGCTGTGGTGCTGGCAGTGCCCGGCTGGCAGAGGGGCTGTTTCCCCAGGTACGAGGAGCAGCAGCACAACTGCTACACCTTTGCCCTGGCCTTCATCAACCGCGTGCGGCAGGGCCGGGGCGGGGCCGCGCTGAGCAAAGCCGAGTTCACCGAGCGCTTCCTGCTGGCCCGCGCCAGGGACGCCTCCCGCTACCTCGGCCTGCAGCAGCAGCTGGCTCACAGCGAGGTCTGCGTCGTGCCCGTGGCTGAGCAGGAGCAGAAGCAGGAGCAGGAGAGCGGGGCTGGAAAGCACAGCCTGCTGCTGGAGTAGCGATGGGAGAGGAGGGCCTGGGGCTCCACCTCAGGGGTTCAGGTTTAATGTGGTTAAACACCATTAACTTCACCCTGCAGCTCAGGGAGGAGCAGGGTACTGAGCTTGTGCATTTCAGGGAAGTTACATGGGAACTGTTCCTGGGGAAAAATGCTTTGTGATTTAACATTCACTGTCTGCTCTGCTCTGCAAAGACACTTCACACCAGAAATCAGAACTGCTGTGGAATTCAGGGCTTTACAAATGAACTGTGGGAACTTCAGCTGTAGCAAATCAAAATGGCCTTTTCTGTCACATTTGTTCACTGATGGTGAATAAAGGGAACATGTATTTGTGTGCTGCTAAATCCCATCCCTGTCTGACTGCTAATTTCCTTTTCTTTAATTACTAATAAATGTACCAACAAATAAATCCAGCCTCTTTACCCGTCAGATTTCTTTTTCCATTCTGAACTGCAGGGTAAAGGAAAGCCAGGGTGGAATTCAGATACCTGAATGTGAAGCTGCAAATCCCAAGGGAAGAAACACTTCTCACCCAGACGGGGACAGGTGCCCAGGCCCCAGGATAGATTTGAACTCTGGGAAGAGTTCCTCAGTTCTGAGCTGTGATTGTAGAAGTTCCAGAGTCCCAACTGCACCAACCAAACCTCTCCCCATATCAAATCTGGATTCACCAACACTCTGCAGTCAGCTTTGTGCTGCCATATCAGAAATCCTGTTCCTAATGGCTGCAGTGTAGCCACCACTCAAACATGCACCTTTTTCTCTTTTATATTTTGAATTGGGACGCATCTTTTCATCTGTTCAGTTACATTTTTCAGTAAAACATTCTCTCCAGTAAACATGATACACCTCATTTTAAACAGCATTTATACACACCAAGTGAGTATGTTGGTGGAAAATGTTCTGGGCCAACAGTTCATCACAAGATCAGGTAAAAAACAAGAAGAAGTGGTTTCTAAAAAGTGAGGTTTTCCTGTGCAGTCAGTTAAAATTCATCCTGCTCGCTGCGCTCACGGGAGGAAACCCAGCGAGACACGATCAGCTCCTGAAATAAAACCCAGCAATTATTAAAGAAAAAACCCCAAAAGCTACAGAAAATCAGTGAGGGATGGGGACTGGCTCTGTAAAACTGATGTGTATTATGTGGCCACTGAGATATTTCAGTAGCTGTTTGCTCCTGAAGAGAGCTGAACTCTCACACACTTTTCCCCTTGTATTTCTGACCTTACCGTAGCCCTGCCATCTCCACAGGGGTTTTTAGGAATCCCTAAATGCTTACATGCACTGTACCAGCAACATTCACATTCAGATAGGAGATGTGAAGTTTACAGAGATCCTGCAAAGCATTGGGGCATGAAGGAGCTTAATTTTATTGCCGCCATGTGTGCAAAACCCAAATCAAGGCAAAGAAGAAGGCAGAGTTCTCCCAAGGAGCTGTAAAAAAGCAGGAAGCACTCACCTGAACCTTGATTCTCTTCATGCACTCTGGGGTTGACATCTCCTCTGCAGTCATGTCAGAAGGTCTGATCAAGTAGCACAGCATGAGCTCCTGTGGGCAGCCAGGAAACACAGGAATTTCAGTGGGTTATGGAAGCACTGTGGAGCTCACACAGAAAATCCCATGGAAATTCCAGTCTCACTGCT